CTTTCCTACGAACCCTCAATGACACAGAGCATTCAATCCGCCCTGCTCCCAGGTGTCCAAGGCTCTTGGTGATCCAGCCTCACGTTGCTCCTGGGGTCGCACTTGCTCAATGTGCTGCAGCCACACTGGGCTTGCCTTCCCTTTGCACATGCTGTTCCCTCAGCGCAGAATGTATTTCTTCAGTCTTTGCTTGGTTAGCTCCTCTTATGACTGTATCACTGTCCCCTCCTGAGGGGCCTTTCCTTTTCCTGCTTCCTCTCCCTAACAGGGCTTTCTCATTCCCTTGTTTGTTTTCTTCATTAAAGAACAAACAAACAAATCAGTTGCAGTACAACTTTTACTTACTACTTGCTTTTCTCTTACCAGAACATAATGCTGGGGTCTTGTTCTCTATTAGATGCCGCATCACCTGGCACAGATTAGGTTTTCTGTAAAATGTACTGACTGGGTGGGTGTAGGCCTTTCCGAGAAACATTTGTGTATGCATTAAGCCAAATAATTTTCAGATTTTATTAAGCTAAATCATCACAGAGATAAATTGACTAAAAGCTGTTATCTATAATATCCAAATGTTTTTATGTAATAGAAAACATGAAAATATTTTAAAACCTGTCTTGTTTCTTATATTAGTGGTGCAAGGTATAATTTACTAGCTCACACTACCCTGACCTTGGAAAGTATTGAGGATAGCTTCAAGACCCATAATCTGTCTATTAGTGGAAGTGGTAAGTATATTCTATATTTTCCTTATTCCACATATTGTACATATACATAAGTGGTATCAGTCATTTCTAATTGTAATATGTACTCCTGAAACAAAAATCTAGGTATGAATGGTACTATGGATTCTTTGAGACATGTCTATATTCTTTTTCCAAAGGAGAAAAGTTTGTTTTCCTGTATGCCCTTTGCTAAAGATTAGCGTGTGAGGCTAGCTTATTAATGGCTTTAGAAAGATTTGGGATGTTCTGAATATTTGCTTTGATTTTAAATTGTTGGCCTCACCACCTTTCTTGCTGGAAACCAAAGACCTGATTAACTCGTAAATTTGAAATTGAGCAGCCTTAACCCTTCTGTTGGTAGGAAAGAAGATAGGGATACATTGATCCTGACCAGTTTTCTCTTTGGAGATTGTGATAGGTGCAGTTTATCCAAGAGAAATACATCGGACTAAAGAAAGGGGTTGGGTGATTAGGAAGGTTGGTCAACTTGTCATGAACTCTCTCCTCTCTCCCAGGATGTATTTTTCTATGATGAAAAATAGGGCAAAGGATTTAGGAACTTCGTTTGGATTGTCTTTTCTTGTTTTCGTTTTCTGGATACATAAATTATGTAGTAAGTGCATTCACATGCTTATACTCCTTTTGGTGAAGATTAGTTAGCAGCTCAGTAATGATGAGATTGAGGATTTTACAACAGTATTTGCTAATTCAAAGTGAAAAAATTAAGTTAAAAATAGAAGTGCTTGAAATGTAAATGTACAGTTTAACAAAGAATTATGAGACAAATAGTTATGATCTTAAAAAATAATATCTCCTCTTCCCCATTTATCACTACCTCATTATCTGACATTTCACATTTAGAACAATAGTAAAAGCTTTGTTCAAGTGTTTATTGCATTAACAGTGTAAGCTTGGCAGTTAAGCCTGGGTATGAGGCAAGAGTATTTGATCTGGGTATCTGACAGTGATGCTTAAGGATATGTGTGTAACCCTGATTTTCTGTGACTGAGCCATGACTTTCTGTGGTGTAGCAGTGATATGATGATATAATTTGACAGTTACGTAATGATGAAATTTAGCAGTTTTACAGTGATGTTGTTAAACCCCATTTTGTGATCTAATGAGGTCATCTTCCATTTTCACATGGTGAGCTTGTCTTTGGAACTTAAATGTCCGTAAGTCAGGAGTAGGTATGCATCGTGGCCTACACTAAAATCGGTACAAAACCCCGTCATGTGAAGTTGATTCTGACACATAGTGACCCTATAGTGATTGTACAGGATGGAATACAGCTGCTCTGTTGGGTTTCCATGACTATAATCTGTACAGAAACAGACGGTCACGTGTTTTTCCCATGGAACACCTGCTGAGTTCAAACTACTAGCCTTTGGCTTAACCATCAACTGCAGAATCACTGTTCCACCAGAAACTCAGTCGTGGTATTTGCACCCTTGCTTCCTCTTTGTGGTTTTACCAAGTATCTTCCCCAAATAGCAAAGTTTAATTTTACCTTGTTTGAACTTCATGTAGATGGTATCACTTTGTATGCCTTCTTAGTGACTTGCCTTTTCTGTTCATCTGATGAGTATATATCTCATTGAATGATTAATTTTATTCTGATTCTATTATTTAGAAAACAGTATCGGAATCTTCATGTTTTCTATTTCTTCTTGAGTCCATTTCAGTGAGTTATATTTTTTTCTAGCTATGTATTTGACTATTTGATCCAAAATCTGAAATTCAGTTCTCCAGGATATGTCCATATCCTCTGAATTTCTACAGTGATGTGGTGCCCGCTCCCCACCCCACTCCATTTCTTGGTATTGAATTTTTTGTGCCTTTTGTGATTATTTTATTGTTGTTAGTATTTTCCATCAGTCTTGCCAGTTGTATGTTGATTTTATTAATCATTTCAATGAATCTTCCTAGGACTTCAAAAAAATTCTCCATAAAAGCTTTTTACTGTTCCATTAACATTTTAAATTTTAATTAATTTATTATTTCTATCCTTTTACTTGCTTGAGGTTTAGTCTTCTGATACTTTTTCTGCCTTCTTGAACTGGATGCTTAGCCTGTTGGTTTTCATCTTTATCTAATATTGACATGTGCATTTAGATTTTCTAGATACATTATTCTCTTTAGCCCATAAATATTTCTGTGTCCCATAAATCACAATACAAAGTCATTTTTGCTTTAGAATATTTTCTCATTTCCATCATGACTGAAATCGTGAACTATTTTAATGTATTTCCTAATTAACAAAATTCAGGATCACGTTTTCTAGTTGAATTTAAGCATTAGGATCAAATACTTTTATTATTTCAGACCTTTGACAGCTGTACATACTTGTACTATATCCCAGTATATATCCAGTTTTTATAAATGTTCCAGTCATCTTTGAAAGGGATGCGTGCTGTGACAGCAGTGTGTTCTGTGTATGGTAATCATGTCAGGAATTGCTGCGGCCTGAGGTACGGCAGAAGGTCAGAGCCATTGTCACGGTTGTTCCTGGTTTGAGCACATGATCGTACCCCCGTGTCAGTCTATCTGCGAGGTTCTTCCTCTTCTTTCATGATCCTTTTCCAAAGGACCGGTCCCGCCTAATATTGTGGGGAATTTTGTTCCACTTTCCTATCTTTTCGATGATTGTAGTGTAAACACTCTACACTGCTGAAAGGGTGTATGATAAAGTATCCTACTGTGATTCTGGGCTTTTTCTAATTCTCATTGTTCTGTCAGTTTTCATTTATATAATAGAGTCTTTGCTATTTGATGATCAAAAACTTCAATTGTGTAATTTTCTCCCATTCATTTATGCTAACCTTTATTTTATGTTATAAACATGCCTGCTCCAATAACATTGTATTAGACTTTTGTTTTTCTCCTATTTGACAGTCTCCCTCCTCCTTTCCTTCTTTGGGATAGCATTTAACCTTTTTGTCTTTAATTTCAAATAGATATTTGGGTTTAAGTCTACCAGCATTCCCTGTGCTGTTTTTCCCCCCCATTCCAGCTTTGTTTATCAAGGATTAATTACTTTCATTATTTTAAATTCTCTTTATTTTAATTGAAGTTACACATATTTCTCATCTGTAAGAAACTACTCTTAAAATTTCATTGATCATACTCATACTGCATGCTACAGTGAAAAGATGGTTTTACCTTTTTCTCATGCTTGTGTTTAAACAATAAAACTTAAAAGTTGTTACCAAACTCATTTGACTTTGGAACTTAGATGCCACAGAACAAATGTTAAGAAGCACCAAACCGTAAGCCTAACTCCATTTATGTAATAGACGTACTCCTGGAAGCCTGTGTAAATTGATGTCTTATCCACCAATTATCAGTAAAATGTTATAAAGAAAAAGACTAATATTTTAATTTTTTCCCACTAATATAAATTCATATTTTTAACATGTCTACTAAATGTAGCGGGATCATGATGAAATACAAGCATTGTGAAAATTAGAACTAAATTTTATTGTTCTCGCTAGTTGAAGGCAACAACCGAAATATCTTAAAATTTGTATTTGGTGTATCAGGAACTCTTTTTATACAGTCACTCCTTGGATTACAAACGAGATTGGTTCCTGTCTTTAGGAATTGGAAAGTCAGTGAGTCTAGATGCATGTGTTTCTAGTTTAGCTTTGGTGTCAGGTGAATATTAGACTGCTCACTACAAGGGCAGCAGTTCAAACCCACCAGCCACTCTGCAGGGAAAAGTCGAGGCTCTCTGCTCCTATAAAGATTAACACCCTCAGATATTCTTTGTAAGATCGTGATGAGTCAGAATAATGGCTTTGATGGCGTAGTGGGTTTAGCATTAGGCTTTGCACCCAAACGCCACTGGTTTGAATCCATCATCTCTTCTCTGGGAGAAAGATGAGGCAGTCTGCTCCTTTAGCGATATACAGCCTTGGAAACATTGTGAAGAAAACTATACTTTGTCCTTCAAAGTTTCTTGAGGCAGAATGAACTTAATGGTAGGTAGTGGGTTTAATTTTTTGGCTTTTATTGTAAGAAAAGGCCCAAAACCTTTTCAGTGGTTTACAAGCTACACATGAAGCAAATGGAGGTGAATGCCATGGAGATTTGTTGCAAGTAGGGGGAGTTCAGTCTTTCAAAGGGAAGGCAAATTTACATAACATTAAAGGGCAAGTAGGAGTTGCCCATAAGTCAGACTTTTTTTTACCTGAAGTTTTGCCTGTACTTTTTATAATGTGATGACACCATATTATGAAAAATTGATTCACAAGGAACTCACTCAGATATTATCTAGCTGCCTTTTCCTGCCTGCTTTTTGGTTTGGTTTTGTTCTCATTGTTGACATTTTTTCTTTTTTTCAAATCTCTGTTCCCCTTTTGTGATGGTAGATGCGTTAGAGAAAATCATCAAGTAAGGAAAGTCAGACTTCGTTTTCTCTTCCTGTTTCATTTCATCTTGTCCTAACACCTTCCCAGGTTAGACAATAATGAAGTGTCTTGATTGATGTGTTGAACAAGGACTTAAAGGCCACTTTGAAAACATGAAAGGAAGGATATGGTTTGGGGAGACCACCCTGGGTTTGAAATTATGAAAAGCACCTCTTATGTCATAATGCTAGATATCCTAGATACATTATCCTATGTGGTTTTCACAGCAATCTCCCGAATTGAGTGGTAATTTGAAAATGAAGAATTGAAACCCAAATAAGTTTAGTGACTAGCCTTTCATTCACTTACTGCCTTCTAGTTGGTTACAATTTATAGCGAGCTCCTGAGGCAGGAAATCATTCAAGGAGCCTTTGTTGGGCAAACATTGGACCGCTAAGTGCAAGATCCTTGGTTCAAAGCCACCAGTTGCTCCAAGGGAGAACACTGAAGGCTATCTGCTCCCTACGGGTTTACAGCCTTGGAACCCTGAAGCAAATAGACTCATCTTTCTTCCTTGGGGCAGCTGATGGCTTTAAACTGCTGACCTTTGGATTAGCAGCCACTCTTGCTTGGAGTATAGAGAAGAAGCTGCCTTCATTTGGTCCTGACTACATAGAGACCTAGGTTAGAAGTGATTGCAAGGTGATTACAAGGGTGTGGCAAGAGAACCGTGGAACTAGGAATTCTAAGGCCAACATCCCTATTTAGGGATTACAATCAGGAAGTAATTTCTTGCTGTGCCATGAAATCTGAACTTGTTTTACCAGTGAAATATATTGTTATACATGGTATTTAGGTTCCAGATATGTTCTTGATTGCACAATCTGTATGAGCTGACCTGAGAATTTAATCATCATGTAACAGTCTATTTCTTTAGGAAGTTCATTATAACCTAAGAAGCAGTTGTTGTTAAAACCAAACCAAAAAAAACCCCCAAACAACCCAAATTCGCTGTCATTGACTCAGTGCTGACTCAGGGCATCCCCCTGTGGTTTGATGAGACTTTAACCATAGAAAGCCCAGTCTTTGTTCTGCAGAACTGCTGGTGGTTTCAAACTGCTGACCTTGTGGATCCCAGCCCAGTGTATAACAACTACACCACCAGGTGCCATCGTAATTCTGACTCATGCAACCTAATGCACACCAGAAAGAAACACTGGCCAGTCCCACACCATCCTCACAACTGCTCTCGTGTAGCAATAAGCACCTAGCTTACCAGATATACAGAACATAAGCTGGTCATAATTCAGGATGTCTCTATAAAGAATTTTGCTTTTAAACTTATATATCAGAAAATTGATTTCATATGTACAAGGGGCCTACAAAAAGTGTAGAGAAAATCACATTCGCTTTTAATTCTATTTTTCCAAGAACTTTTTTGAACCCCTCCTTTTTCTAAAAAAAAAAAAATTTGTACTTTTATAGAATTTTTCTTTTGTATCCTGCCTATTTTAGGAAACTAAATGATTGCCAGTGTTGAATGTTATTCTGCCAGATCAAGCCCTCACTTTTTAAAAGCTAACAACCAGCAAAATATAGTTGCCTCTTCAACAACACAAGGATTCTTTCCCCCCTGTTGCTATTGAGTTGAGCTAAAGTGTTGCAGGTATCCATGTATGTGACCATAATCGACTCCACATGAGCAGTTGGGAGACTCACATGTTGTTCACGGGTCAAGTGTAAAGTATACATGGATTTCCGGCTGCATGGGAGGTTGTTTTCCATTGTTCTCAGGATCAACTATATAATAGAAATATATATGCATATAGTTATACTTCTGTGTGTGTGTGTGTGTGTGTGTGTGTGTGTGTATTTGGATAGTCTTAAGAAAATCTCTGTGCTTTTCAATAGTACAACATTGGGTGTGTAAGTTAATTTTTAAAAAATAATAAAACCTTTTGTTTTACTTAGTACTATTCATTTACACTGTTGTATTTTTTTTCTTTAAATATTATCCCAAGCCTTGCTAACATGCGTATGTATAGCAAATAACTAATTTTTACTAAAAATGTTTCCCCCAGCTAATATTAAGATTTTTTGCAACAGGGAATGGCTAACCCTTTTATAGGCACTAATTACCCTGTTGGCACTGTGGGCCACTACTTATAAGGTTTGTGGTTCAAACCCACCAGGCACTTCATGGGGAAAGATGAAGCTATCCACTCCCTTAAAGATGTACAGTCTTGGAAGCCCTAAGGCACAGTTCTACTCTGTCCTAGACGAGTCACATTCCACACTAGGGCAGTAGCTTTGGGGGGTTGGGTCCCAACAGTGGTGTAGCAGAAACGCTAAAAAAAGTTCCATTGTGAATTAAGGGCTATGTGTTGAGTATTTATTTATATACGCTGGTGTACAAAACATTATATGAAATTCTTACCTTCCACATAGATAGAAAGGCTATATACTTACTTTGATAATATTCTTGAATTTTTAAAACTAATTTGAACTTTACCGAAAAGTTGCAAGATGAGTATCAATTCTTTTGTTCCCCCTCAAAAACAGGAGAGCCAGTTGCTTGCATGGTGATGCATAGAAAGGCTCATTTTCCTCCCAAGGAACGGTTGGTCGGTTTGAACTGCTGACCTTGTCGGTAGCAGCCCAACTCCACCCACTATAACCACCAGGACTCCTACTGTTACTTAACTACAATCTAACCCTCACATTCTATCCAAGTGTTGCTCCATTGTCCCAATAATGTCCTTGATGGTAGAAGCTGTCCCCAAGCCAGCCCCAATTCATGGCAATCCAGTGCACAAAGAAGGAAACTGTCTTTCTCTTCACGGTCCCCAGCTATGGTGAGACTTTCTTGGTCTATAAGGGTTTCCTTGGCTGAGTTTTGAAGATCTCTGGTCGTTTCTTCCTTATCTGTCTAGTCTGAAAACTCTACTGAACTCTGTTCAGCATCTTAGTCTCCTCTAACAGGTGGCGGTTGCACCTGAAGTTCATTGGCCAAGAATTGAACTCAGGGCCCCACAGGAAAAGATAAAATCCTACCACTCAACCATCAATGCCCCCACTCATTGCTTTTAGGATGCTCCTATGCCTAGATTATCTCAGTCTAAGGTGACCAGACGTCCTGCTTTTGGCGGGACAGTCCCAATTTTTAACAATTTTTCCCCACGTCCCGGGGCGTTTTAAAAAAGTCCCGATTTTTTGAAAGAATGCATGACAAGCTAGGGTATACGGTTTTCGGCTGCCATGTTGCTATTTCACCAGCATATGAGTTTTATCAATGGTGTCCCACTAAATCTGGTCACCTTACAGTAGACAGAACTAAATGCACACACACATACACACACACCCCTATGACCCTAGTGGTGCTACTGAGTAAGCATTGGACTGCTGCTCACAGGTTCGGTGGTCCAAACTCACCAGCCACTCTGTGGGAGAATGTTAAGACTTTCTGCTCCCGTAAAGGTTTACAGCCTTAGGAACTCTACTTAGGGCTGTCCGGTTCAACTTGAAAGCAGTAGGTTTATCCATTGAAAACCATGAGATTCCTTCAATATACTGTATCCAGTTCTAAACCAACACAACAAACTAAGTTCATATGAATGATTTGTAACTCCCTTCTTCAAAGATGGGAAACTTGTCTTCCAGTATCCTTAATACATTTTCTTTTTCATCAGTCTCCCTCAGAGCAGCCAATTACCCATCTCGTGCATATGTCTGTCTTCCATCTCCCTGCTACAACCCCCACCCCCACCCCCATTTAGGGTCACCCCTTCCACAGGGCTGCTCTCCTCACCTTGCTTAGGTTCTCCCTCCCTGGGCCTGGCTGCTCTCGTCTTGTGTGGCCACCCTCCTCAGACTGCCCCTCTGCTTGAATGACTCAGGTTCTGACACAATGCACTGGCTGGGTCACCCATGTGAGGGTGGCCTTCCTACCCCATGGCTGAACTTGCCCCACACGTAGAGCTCTCCCTACTTTGTCTGGGTTCTGATACCTCACATAGACCAGCTAGTCTAGGTAAACACCCCTCGCACCCAGCTTGGGACCTGACACTCACTCACTCACTCACTCACTCACTCACTCACTCACTCACTCACTCACTCACTCACTCACTCAAACTCAGCAGACCAAAATCGATCCTATTTCGATCCAAACCAAACAAGCTCACTGCTATTGAGTCAGTACTGACTCATAGCGAGCCCCTGTGGATTTCCGACACTGTAATTGTTTACGGGAGCAGAAAGCCCTGTCTTTCTCCCGCAGAGCTGCTGCTGGTGATTTTGCATAACCAGGACACCACCAGGGCTCCTACCAAATTCTTCCTGCTGCTTGCTTCCATCCTTAATTCCACTCTCCCTTTCATCTGCTGTATCTTATCTAAAGTAAGGTCTAGCTATTTTGCTCTTTAAATACCGCCCAAATGCCTCTTTGTTTCCTTCCTGTTTGGTTCTACCACGGCTTTGATGTGCGAGGCCTTCCTCCCTCACTGGGACTGATGCCTGGTGGGTCACTTGCTAAAGAGCCACCTTGGTATAAAATGCTTGTCTGTCCCTCCCTTGCCCCAGGTCTTTCTGTGAGTGCCCATCATGGATGGCAGAGCTTCAGGAAGGGCAGAGGAAGTGCCCAAAAGGTCTATTAAATAAGCATTGTAAAGATATGTAGAACGGAAGAATTACTTCATTAAAGATCAACAGAGAGATTATGAGACTAAAAGGGTATGTCCTTCAAGGAGGTAGCATGCCATGAAGTATCACTTCGATTATATCCTGTTCTTTCTACTTTCTCTTTTTTCATCTTCTCATTAAATATGGTGCTGGGATTTGAGTAGGATGAATCTTTACATAAAGAGAATTGAAAAAATATGTCCTTGTACCAAGCCAAAAAAAATCATAAAAAGCAATTAAAATGTATATTGACCGTAAACAAGCATACATTTGTAACTTGGTGTGCTCTCTCTTCCCTGTAAACAGAGGAGTCGTCATTTTGGCTTCCCTTATACGGTAATATGTGCTGTCGATTAGTGGCCCAGCCCGCTTGCATGGCCAAGGATGCATTTGCAGGATTTCTTAATCAGCAGGTTAGAAGATGTTTTAATAACCTCTCACAATAGTTAAACTTCAATTTAAATCTTAAGGGAGTAGCAATTGTTTGGCCTTCTAATATTGAGAAGTAGTTCTTAAAGTCTGTTTTTAAATACCAGTTTTCTAATATTATCAGACATAGACCATGAGGGCTGTGGAGGCCAGTCGGAAAATGTTACCAGGTGAGGGGGCTCTCTGGGACAGTTCTGATGAGGGAGCAGTTACCTCTTCTGTTAGCCTGCGTCCTGAACAGCAGGAACGGGACAGAGGACTCCTTGTGGAGACTGATGGGGGCTGCACAACACGTTTCACATAAAGGCCTTTTTGGAGACCGCTTTTGGCACAATGTCTGCCTCTGGGCTTCCAGAGCTGCCTCTGTGCCACCTCCTCCTGATTTATTTATAACCAGAGTTATTTATATCTAGTAAATAATTAATTATGAGCTTCAATGAATCAATAGCTTTTTCTAAAGATTCCATTAGGAGGAAAGAAAATTTGTATTCTTACTTGATAGTCAACCTTTTCCAGGGCTTTGAGGACAGTAAGGGAAAGTGGTATCTTGAATGTTGAGAGAGTTATTTTTGTAATTTTCCTGAGTCACTTGATAAATTGCCATGGAATTCTAAGCACTAATTTTTAATAGACTATCTTTTCTAAAATTGCAGTGATTTATGATTTTATGTGTGTAAAAGTTATTTGATAATTATTACCTTCATTTTGCTTAATGCTTTAGAGAATTCCAACCTTCTGTGATAATAACTTTTCTCTTTGAGTTTGGGCAAGTCACTGTCTGTATTAAACTATGAATTCATAGTAATTCAGCCACCCTCTAGAAATTCTAGAAACGAGTTTAACATTTAGTGTTTTGTTGAATTTAGTGCTAAAAATGACACGTCATAATGACATTGATAGTTTATTGTTTGTCTTTCTGTCTCTGCTTTTTCAGCAAATGGTAGAAGGTCTAGTCAGTTGGAGAAGGTTATATTGTGTTTTAAGAGGGGGCAAACTCTATTGCTTTTATACCCAAGAAGAAATTGAAGCTAAAGTGGAGCCAGCCTTGGTGGTGACCATTAACAAGGTAAATGAAATGTTGTTTCAAAAATAAAAGTGTAAAATGTGTCCTTTCTTTACAATATGCATTACTAGTACCTTGTAAATAAGAGGGATGACTGCTAGATAAGGGTTAGTTCAAAGCGATAACTACACCTGTTGTCACTCAGCTTTTCTTCACATTACGAAGCTTGCCTATTAAAGGAAAGACTGCATATGTTCTATGAGTACATAGTAGTGGCAAGTATACACCAATAAATAGTTCTCAAACCAAAGAATGTAACTCTGTGCTAACTGGATGTTTTGCATTTTTATGGGTTAGTTAACCATGGTCATATAAATTGTTAGTCTGCATTATAGTGAAGCTCTTTTTACTCAACATTCAAATGACCCTTCAGTAAGATTTTCTGGCTATCCTCCCTGGTGTCTTATGGGACTGGTGGCAATGGCACAACTTCCTGTCAAGACTAGGAAGCCAGACAGCCTGTTTCTGTTGAATAGTTGAGTGCTTACACTGCATTTGAAAAGCAGTACTTACTCACTTATAGAATCTTATCAAGTATGTAGATACTAGTTTGATACAAAAGAGGCTACTAAAATTTAGTTAAAAATTCTTCACACACAAGTCTGAAGGAAATCCTGTCAATCTAAAGCAAACTTGTTTTCTTTTCTCCCACTGTCCTACGTTTCTCTTCATCTGTCATCCTACTCTGTTGCTGAGAAGGTCTCCTCCTCCAACCCGCCCTCGTTTTATCTAGCACTCCTGCGATAGCCTGTGTCCGTGGCCTTTCTAGAAATGAATACTGTGCTCTCTGCCTGCGGACTGCACATACTGTTTCTCACTATTTGACAGTGCTTACTTTGCCCCCAGTAAATTAAAGTATACAGGGGCTTCAAAAGTGTATGGGGAAATGGAATTAAAAGACAATGAAACTTTTCCACAAACATTTCAAAGCCCTCTTGTATGATCACATATAAACCTGTTGGGTACCAACTGTGCGTGTTCAATTGCATGTGGACATTTAAAGAAGGGTAAAACTGTACGTTCTATTCTTGAAAATGTGCGAGTGCCTGGCTGCTCCTCTTTGAAGGTTTCAGTTAGTTTCTGTGATGTTTTCCAGCAATGCCATGTTGTCCATTACTATTCTGCTTTTCGAAATCCCCATTTAAGTTCCTCTGGAAAGGAATCTTCCAGTGAAGAGCTTTTATTATATCATGAAATTCCCCTAACTTGTCTGTTTTGTGTATCATGAAAATTAATGTTGCTCTTAAATAGCATAAATTTATACTAGCTGAAATCATAATCATATTTGGGTTTGGAAAACTTAGGTTTTTATCATGTATAATTTTATTATTGGAAAATGGACATTTGTTGAAAATGTTCTTACCTGATTTTTTTTTGTGTCTTGATTATGTAATAGTTTCTCCTTTTCCTCTTCTATTTTCTCTACCTTAGTTTTCCTTTGAAGGGTTTCAGGTGTCAGAAAGTTGAAAGAATAGGTAGCAAATACCTCTATACCCTGTACATAGATTCTTTAACTGTTGTCAACATTTTGCAACAGTTTTGTCTAAATAGCTTAAAATAGTTTTTGAATTAATTGGACATAAACTACAATAGAATTACATTTCTTTTTTTAAACAGTTTTATTGGCATATAAGTCACATCACACAATTCAATAGTTGAGTCGTTTTCAGAAGAGTTGTGCAGTCATTAACACAGTTGATTTTAGAGCATTCTCTTCTTTCTTATACTCATCATCATTATTGGGTTCCCATGTCCCTCCTACCTCCCCTGCCCGACCCCCAAGAAACCATTGATCTAGTTCTGTCTCTATAGAGTCACCTCCTGGATTTCATATGCCAGAACCCAACAGCAACGACAAAACCAAAACACTAACCACCATACGAGAAAGGAAAGCCTCAATCGAAAAGAGAGTAAAAAATGTAAATACTAGACCAACTTTAAAGTGGGCGAAAATGGTCATCAAATGATAAGGTTTTATATTTAGCTACATCTGCCACAATCCACCTTCCAAGGTATTCTTGCTGATACCAAGGCTATTCACATCCCTGGGCTATAGTCAGAGGGGATTCACTAAAGGCACAGTCTACCTATATGTTCCCTTTACTTTTTTTTTTTTAATTGAAATACTTTTTAAATCGGTCAAAAGGGAGAACAAATAAGATATTACATTTGAACTTAACTATATCTACCATCATCTGCTTTACGGTGCTCTCCCTCTGTCTGCTAACAAAGGTGTTCACATCCCTTGACTGTGGTCAGAGGGAATTCATGGGAGGCTTAATCTATGTGTGGACCCTGAAAAAGGATTTTGGTTCCACTGTTGTCCATAGCCTTCTGCAAATTAGGTGTTCACAATTTAAACTCTGACAGCATTCCATCCTTTGGATTTGGATTATGTTATTTATAACCCTTGGATTGCACAGGCTGGTGTGTTTCTTCTATGTGAATTGAGTTGTTGCCTGACTTAGATGGCTGCTTGTTTGAAGATATGGCTTTTAAGACCCCAGATACTATTCTTCCTCATAGCTAGACACCATCTAGTTTCTTTGTCACACTTTACGATAGCACCCATCTCTTCTGGGATCTCTTCTTGAGAGTGAATAAGTATGACATATCTTCTCTACTTTTTCCACTTTCTCCTAAAAACATAACCGCTTTCCTTCATAATCATATTATTGCCATATTTGAGAAACTATGGATAATGTTATCTAGTATACAAAACAAAATTGTTTGGGTTGTCTCCAAAATATTCTTTTAAATTTATTTTTATTCCTCGATTCCTAGAATCATGTCTTTCAATTCCTGTTCATCTAACCAGGCCCTTCAGACACATGTACACACTCTGTTTTGTGGGAAAGATGGCCTTTTCCATTACATTGGCATTTTGTAAGGTCTTGGCCAATTATCTTCTTTGGATGCTCCCAAATCTGGACTTGACTAATGCTGTCACTGAGTTCAGGTTAAAGACCTGGCAAGAGTTCCGCATAGATGATTTTTACTGGATAGCTGAGCAATGTAAGAAGAGAATCCTACCGATATTGTAGTTTTCCTCCTCATGTGTACCGTGGAAAATGGAAAGCCCGAAACCAAAATAAAATGTAATCGACACAAATGATTCTCCTAGCCATTTGTGGTGCGCCTACCCAGGGATGTTGATAACTGTTTTTCAACTATGTTATTCCTGTTTTACAAGTGAAGAAACAGACTCAGAGATCAGATTGAACTTGCCTAGTATGTCAGGAAAATTACCCAACTCGCTCTTGTCCTAATAGGGAAGGGGAGAAAAATAGAATAAAATTCAGCACTGTTTTCCCATTTTCTCATAGACATATTCCTAGACTATCTTTTAGGACAAAATTCAGCTTTTTTTTTTTGGTCTGTCTCCTTACTTTGAATCCGAGTTTTGAAAGTAAAAAGTAGCTTTGAAATGAGATTCTGAGCCTGAAGCTACAATTGGCCTATAGACAAGGACTGCGGCAGGTGTTTCACTGTACGACTCAAATGTAAGCGGGCCGCTATATTGAGACGCCTGTGCTATTGTAGCTAGCGCATCTGTATTTCTCTGTCTGATGACAAGGCCCTCCTTCCAGAAAAAGCAGCAGCAGTGTTTACCAGGGCCTGAATTGACTTTTTTCCAATTGATTCATTTTTCCTGTGGTTAGAAAGGCAGATGGCCAGGCAGTTGAAGAGCTTCTGTAGTCAATCAATTCCATTATTGAGATGACTGAAATCAGCACAGTTAGAAATCCCTGTGGTTGTTCCACAATTGACCACTACAAATTTACAGCAACATGATTAAACTAGTAATTTGTATAGACTTAGGCTTAACTTGGGGACAAAGTAGGCTGGCTGTATTTGACCCTGAGGGCTGATAATATAATTCCCTCCTCCATTTTACTTGACTCTTGTTTAAAGTACAGAAGAAGGTTTTTGAGATGAAAACATAAGGGAAGAGTTAATGTTGGGAACGATTGCTGATCTCAAAGGCGGAACGGATGCCAAAAATCTTCCATTCTCCAACGTTGTGATATTTCCATATGAAATATGAATATTTATTTTGCTCTTTTTCTCTATAGAAACCCTTCTTTTTGCAGCGCCTATCCAGACCTCAGTTTTCTTTGAACCCTTACACTCACTTCCCACGAAACAGTCAATAAATGCTGTCCCCTGATTCAAATATTTGGACACCACACGCATGACTGTAGTAGAAGCTGTCCTGCCCACACAGGACCATGCAATTTCGTTCTCAGCTTGTAGAATTATTTGAATATATAGAAGAGTTGAAAGAAATATTCCAGCAGCCACCCATTGCCTAGATTCAACAGTTAGCATTTTGTATTTGGGTGATTACATTAAACGTTACAGATGATTTTCTCACTGTATTTTTTGGTCACAGCTAACAGCTGGCACTCTTGTGAAGAAGCGCTTTTTTCTTGGCCACTAGAGATGAGTTATAACCCCTTCTTAAAGATCAGGACAAATGCTTGACTCTTTAATTACTGATTTTCACAGTAAGAACTATCAAAAGATATAGCGTCTGGGGTCTTAAAGGCTTGTAGGCAAACAAGCAGCCATCTAGCTCAGAAACAACAAAGTCCACAGAGAAGAAGCACATGAGCCTGTGCGAACACAACGTGCTGAAGGGAACAGGCAGCA